TAAAAAGGGGATGTATTGCAGGGACAAGTCTATAATTTTGCCACTTTATAGATCATTGGTTCGACCTCATCTGGAGTACGCGGTCCAGTTCTGGTCACCAGTACTAAGAAAAGATGTCCTTGAGTTGGAAAAAGTCCAGCGAAGGGCAACCAAACTAATTAGGGGTATGGAGGACCAGAGCTACGAGACGAGGCTACTAAATTTAAACATGTTCACATTAGAGGTGAGGAGATTAAGGGGGGATATGATTTCCATGTACAAAATGTTTAATGGTGGTAGCAACATTAGCGATAAACTGTTTAAAATTAACTCCGTTACAAAAACTAGAGGCCATCACCTAAAATTGGTGGAAAAAAAATTCCAGCACAAGGGGCGAAGGGGGTTCTTCACAGTAAGATCAGTTAGGGTCTGGAACTCACTGCCACAGGCGGTGATTTCAGCAAATAATGTGGAATTGTTCAAGAAACTTTTGGACGATTTCTTAAGGGACCGTAATATACAGGGGTACGGGTACTCCTAGAATGAGATCCTAATAGGTTGGACTTGATGGACTAATGTCTTTATTCAACCTCAAATACTATGTAACTATGTATAGTTTTTAACTGTCCCTCCTTTGGAGGAACCATTCCTCATTCCTCTTCCATAGCTGTTCCTTTGCTCTGTCAGAAACAACCTTTGCTTCTTCCTTGATTTTGATGACTAATCCAAATTAGTAAAATTATAAGACAGCGATTATCTTAGTATGACCAACTACAGGCTGTAAAAAATGTAGTACATTTTGTCCTCTGTCTGAACTATTGAGAACTAAAAGGAAGAACCTGTGAGGCCCAGACTTATCATTTATACAGAATGTAACATGGACATACTGGAAGCCATTTTGTCCTTTCTAGTCTATAAGTATATAAGGTGAATTTGAGTTCATGGTTTCAAGACAAAGCCATTCTCAGACCCTTACAGCACAGATTCCCAGGTAATAAATTTTGGGGAGTCTATTTCAGCGGTCGCCAACCTTTCGGACCTCAGGGACCATTAAATTCATAATTTTAAATCCAGCGGACCACTAATATGAATTTTAAAAATATATATATATATTCTCATATTTTTTGTTTCCTCATATGTGTGTGTGTATCTCTCTCTATATATACATGTATGAGAATATATTTATATATGAGGAAACGAAAAATATGAGAATATATCTATATATACATAGAGTATATATACACATACATACATAGGTGCGGGTGGGCCTGCAGGAGTGGCAGTGCTGGTGTAGGGAGCGGTGCCGCCCGCCCCGGCCCAGTAATAATATTGTTTCCCCCCCAATCGAATCTGCCACTGGCCCTGTCGGCGGCACCCGGGGCACATGCCCCCCCCAGCTTCAGCACTGCCCCCCACCCCCCCCGTGCCTCCCCTTCCCCCACACTGTGCCAATATTACCTGGCTTCTCCCCATTTTTTCTATGTCTGCTCAGCCTGGGTACTGACGAGATGCCCCGCCTCCTGCAGAGCCCGCACTGTACTAAGAGCCCCACATTCCTTGTGACAGCCGCTGCTTGAGTGAGTGAGAGGCAGCCCCACAGCCTCCATGTCGCTTCTATGACGGCCCAGCCTGCACGGCATCAGAGGGGCCCGGGGACCACCAAATTTTCTCGCAGACCACCAGTGGATCCACAGACGACGGGTTGACGACTGCTGATCTAGTTGGACCAGACAACAGCAAGAAAAGGAATTATAATGGTACCAGACTGAGATAGACTGTAAAATTAAAGGAGAACTATAGTTCTAGCCAACCTGTGACAATGAGACTGTCACAGGTCGGCTCAGTAGATCGGGAGGTGACCGAACATATCCCGGCGTTCGCTCACCTCTCGATCCTGTCACGGCTCTGTGCCGTGACAGGGCAGGGGCTGTATTCCCCCCTCCCCGATCTGCCAGCGCTGACTGGCGGAACGGACGGGGGAGGGGGCGGGTACAGCTGGCTCTGCCTCTAGATAGGCAGAGCCAGCTGTCACTCACGCAGCTGGGCGGATCCCGTCATCTAAGTCGGGATCCGCTCCGGCTGCGGCATCTCAGTATACCGCGAGCTAATACTGAGCTTAGGGTAACTGGAGGACGCTAGTTTGTGTCCTCCCGTTACCCTAAGGAGAACTATGAGGAAAAGCCCTGACCCCATAGTTCTCCTTTAATGAAGATGCCATGTCTCGAGCTTAACAAAGGACAAAGAACTATTCTCTAGCATATATTTTTTTTTCTCTTCTTTTCAAGCTATGAATACATTGAAAGTATCCTATTACATAATATTATTATTTTATAGGAATATTATAACCAATCATATCAATTGTATTATTATTATTGCATGAGGTATCTAAATACTTGCTTAATTCCATTTTTTTTTTATACTGCAATATTCAAGACATACTGAGCTAGTTCACACCATATCCAGTTGTGATACAGTCCGTTCAGTTTGACTGTTGCAGCCAAAATACATCACAATGTTTTCCTATGGGCTTTCTCGTGCTGTATTCACACCATTGCAGTCCGTTCAGATGCAGTCAGAAAAAGTACTGCTTGTCCTATTTTAGCTGAATATAAAAACATTCTGCGCTGTGGAAGCTGTCTCAAAGTGATAAATATAAAAGATGAAAAGCTGCCGTGCTAATAATATAAATAGATTAGATCAAACAGATGCACCACACTAGTCAATAATCATAATACGTGAATAATATAGTGCTAAATATCAAATAGATCACATATAACCAATATAATTAATAAATACTCAGAAATAGTAAAACGTGTCTCTCATTGTAATAGTACAAAACACAAAAAAATTCCCCAGCCTCAACCTGCCAGCCAGCCTGCAACCAAACAAGTAGCCCTGTCAACAGTATGCGTTAAAATCAGAGGTTTTAGTTTCACAAACTTTTGGCCAAAAATATGTAGAAGCCACACTACCTCTGCAAAGTGTGGTCCTAACTCTATGTATCCGAGTCTCCAAGTGTGAGCATATTAATGAAGTTGATAAATTACATGCAGGTGTACCTGGAGGTAGCCAACTCCTCCTAAGGTGCAGGGACGCACTGGAGGCCCAGCAACCAAAAATGCACACTGGGACTCCAGTGCGTCCCCCTAACCCAAAATAGTCAAACTAGAAAAAGTTGGCTACCTCCAGGTACACCTGAATGTAATTTATCAACTTCATTAATATGCTCACACTTGGAGACTCGGATACATAGAGTTAGGACCACACTTTGCAGAGGTGCCTTGGCGCGGCAGTGTGGCTTCTACATATTTTTGGCCAAAAGTTTGTGCAACTAAAACCTCTGATTTTAACGCATACTGTTGACAGGGCTATTTGTTTGGTTGCAGGCTGGCTGGCAGGTTGAGGCTGGGGAATTTTTGTGTTTTGTATTGTTGTAATCCTTCCCAATGTGCGCCCAGCTATAAAGGCCGGTTATAGATTCATGCATGTACCATTTTTTTCTAGTTTTCTCATTGTAATATCTCCAGTAGAGATTAGGTGCAAATTGGTAATTAAAAGTCCATCATAAATTGATGCAAAAAAAAAGTGAAAAAGGTGACAAAGTGCCAAGACAAAAAAAAACAACCCATCAGTGATAAGTTCTTCTTATAGCTGTAGTGTGCAAACTCCCGGTGACTGTGAATCACACCACACTCACCAGTCTTCCATATTCAAAGAGACATAACAATCCCGGATCGCAATTACAGTGAGCGTTTGCTCCTCCACTCGCAGTAGGAACTTCCTCCTCCACTCTCTCTGTGCTCTTTCACAAGAAAGCTTCAGGTTCAGATGTGGTGGTTTAAAAAACGTATCCGTTCCAAGATTCCCAGAAACAATCGCTTTTTCAAAAAATATTCCAATCCGTCATGAACAAGCCAGTCGAATAATCACACAATTAAAATCTTTCCAACTTAGTGTGTCCCAACCTCCACTTCTTTTCCGACGCGTTTTGTACAAAGACTTTTTCAAGAAAGTGCACAAAAACACAAAATAGGCACAAAAACAAAATAGATCACGTTAATCTTGGCTGACTGCGGCCGGTGATGTGACTGGAGGCTACCGTGGTACATAGTCGGGGCGATACCATGTTGGGTTAACAGACAGTGTGGCCTCTTGTTTGTTGTTAAAGCGTGATGAAAACGTTTGCTTGTGAGTACATTTATCCCTTGTTTTATTTATCCTAATAAACGATTTTACACACGGAGGTGGCGCTCTGTTCCCTTTTGTTTTCCCCTGGCCTAGAGGTAGATGAATAAGGTGTAATACTTACCGTATTCCTTGCTCCAGCCGGCTTTGGTGCTGTCCTCTCTGACGCTCTAGGTTGTGGGCGGGCCCTCGCCATCCTCACATGAAATTTAGGGCTATTGGTCCCGCACTGCGCTTGATAATTGTCAGGGTTGGACCGCCGGCTGGAGCACCTTAGAGAAGAGGGGTGTGGTTACAAAGATGGTAGAAGTCCACAGGAACAAGGGGTAAGGTCAGGATTACACCTCATTCCTTTACCCTTAGGCTTAATGAGCATTTAACCCTTGCAAATGGGGGTTGGGGCACTGCAAAGGTAATTTTTTTCCTGCCTGAAGTGTTGCTTAAATTATATATTTTTTTGTAAAAAAAAATGAGGAAGCATTTAAAATAATTTATTTTTCTGTGCTTTTAATCTGTGGACAGGGTCTCTTTAAATCAACTTTGGTAACTTCACCATCCCTACAAGCTTGCTCTACTGGCCACATTCAGCTCACCCATGACCAGGCCATGTAATATGAACCATGTATACAGTATATACACATCCGGTCTATAGACAGCCCGGCCCAGCATCCCAGTCATTGAGTCAACACTGACAGCCACCACTCCAAACACGTGACCGAGGCTCGCGTGCCAGCCCGGGTCTTGGCGCCTTTATTCAAACACTGCGTGATGACATCAGAGGCGCGTAGGAGCCACGTCGCGGCGGGTTCATTACGCCTGCGCGCAGAGCGGCAAGATGGCGGACAGTGCGGAACTGAAGGTAAAGCGCAGCTGGAATTGCGGGGCCGGGATCCCGCCCTGCGTTCGGTGCGGGGAGTCCTGCGTTCCGGTGTGGGTGGGCCGATGGGTCGGTGAGCCGGGGGAAGGTGCGGTCCGGTGGAGGGAAGAGTTCGGCTCGCTGGGTGAGGAAGAAGTGGAGTGGCCGCTATTATTGTTGCTCTTCTACAGGGGGCAGGCGGGGGCGAGCGGAGGGGCGGACGGGCTTGGAGACCTGGAGGGGGCAGTGTGGGCAGTGCTTGTGCGAGAGGAAGCGGGGGATCAGTGAGGAGAGGATGGATGGGGAGAGCGGTGGTGGTACCCGGCTCTGTGTTTACATCCGTGTGAGGAGAGGTGAGCATGGCATCCTCCATGTGTCTGCATACACCATTCCTTGTAATGTCTATGGGGGAATCCCGCCATCAGATCAGTGTGAGGAGAGGTGAGCATGTCATCCTTCATGTGTCTGCACGCACACACACCATTCCTTGTCATGTCTATGGGGGAATCCCGCCATCAGATCAGTGTGAGGAGAGGTGAGCATGTCATCCTCCATGTGTCTGCACACACACACACCATTCCTTGTCATGTCTATGGGGAAAATCCCTCTATCAGATCAGTGTGAGGAAAGGTGAGTATGGCATCCTCCATATGTCTTTACACCCTGTTCTGCCTCAGTACTATGGGGGAATCCCTCCATCAGATCAGTGTGAGGAAAGGTAAGTGTGGCGTAGCATGGGACATCCTCCATGTGTGTGTCTGCACCACTCTCTCATATGGAGGGACTCCCTCCTTCAGTGCATTCTTAGCAGAGATGAATGTTGCACTTCCTGGCACATCCTCCATGTGTATACAAACCATTCAGTGTCTATGTGGGACTCCTACCATCAGTGCAGTATAAGAGCATGAGACTGCTCAGAACCCCCCTCTGCAAGTACCATGGGGGGGTTGACCTGGCCCGTATCTGTACACACCACATGGGACCTCAGAGTGTCTCAGTCCCTGCACCCCTCCCCCATCTCCTGTACAGAACACATCTGTCACCGCTCTGATGGCTCCATCTGACATGTCCGCCCCCTCCGGCTTCCCTCGTCTGGTCTCCATGGTGGACGTGTTGTGTGATTGTTATGCAGATTTCCTGTTGGTGATGATGAATGTACGTCCAGGTCTGTGATTGCTGACCGCACGTTGTCTCTTGTGCTGAGTGTAGACCAACATCCCCGAATATTGTCCAACCCGTTCGTTCCCCTTCTGAGGAAATTGCCCTTGTAATTCATCTGATGAGGTGAGGGTGATGGAGTGAGGGTGATTTATCACTGAGCGTCATTTCATACAGAACCATGTAGAGTGAAAGACAAACCTGTTATGTTATAGACCAGGGGTAGCCAAACGCTGGCCCTCCAGCTGTGGGGAAACTACAAATCCCATGATGCATCTCTCTCTCCGGTAGTCATGTCTGGCTGTGAGAATCTTGTAATGCCTCATGACATTTGTAGTTCTACCACAGCTGGAGAGCTGGTGTTTGGCTACCCCTGTTATAGAGTGTAGGGAATGGTTGTAGGAGATGTAAATGCAATTGTCTTTTTTGTTTTAAAGCTGCTTTCCAGTCACAATGAATATTGGTGTGAATACAAGGGTCACGTGCGTTCTTCATTGATCTTGGAGAGCTTTGTGTATTCCTCTCAGATGTGTCCCCCCCCCTGCCAGAGCTTCCTGTAGTAAGGACCGGTCACTGCAGCTCTCTCTCCTTGTGCAGGGTGACTGGTCTTGTCTCCACCCCCTCCTGTAATGAAGACCGGTCATTGCTGCTCTCTCCTTGTGCAGGGTGAGTGGTGGATGTCAAAATATATTTAAAAAAAAAAAAATAGGTAATATAATTACCACAGTGGGGGGTTATCAAAACTGGAGCGTGAAACGCTTGTCATGCATTTCCAGGCGTTTCCATTGAAGTCACAGCGGCCAAACGTGCTGTAATCTGCCACAAAAAAAGCTCATGTACTTTTTCCCAGCGTTTGGCGATTTTACAGCTTGTGACAAAACTCTCAGGTGTGAACAGGAACCATAGAAATGAATGGGTGAGTTTTCGTGTTGAGAGTTTTTTCAGTTGGCTTTGAGCGTCAAAATGCCCAGATGTGAACAGGGACTCGTACCTGGCGTGGAGCCGGCAATGTAGAGACTTGGACACGTTTCCAAAAAGGAGGTGGCACCTGTCTCTTCCTTCCCTTTCCCCCAACAGATCGGTCAGCCTGACCGCTCAAGTGCATCTATCCACACAAGGTTACCATAGCCAGGGAGTCTCATCCCCTTCATGCCGGTGCGCTCTTCTGTCCCTTTTTTGTCTTGTTAGATATAAAAATGATTTGACTTTTGAAATATTAACACCTGAAGGGCCCATTTACATGAAGCGCTGCGCCATGCACATGTTACCAAGCGTGGGGTGCACATTGCGTGCAGTATTGTGCTCCGTTTATTGCCATTCGTTTAGTGGTAGCTGTGCGTTGCAGCTCACTGTACCACAATACCGTGCAGTGGAAAAAGTAGGGCATACATTCGTAGGACTCCAGGCTTGTAAGAATCGAGTGCAAAGCTGGCCAAATACCAGGAGCCAGGTCACCAACGCTCTGTAAATATTCACCCCACAGTTTGATGGCAGAAGGAGCCCATCAGTATTCCCCC